GCTGATGCGGAAACTTCAGGTGGTGCAGAATGCTGTGGCCAGACTCCTTACCAGAGTGAGAAAATACCAACACATTTCTCCAACTATGGCTGCATTGCATTGGCTGTCCATTCGTTTCTGTGTCGACTTCACAGTTTTAATGCTTACTTATAATGCCCTAAACGGTTTAGGATGTCGATACTTGGTGGAACGACTGCTCCCACCTAGGTCTACCCGGATCACCCACGTGAGTCGGGAGGTGAGGCTGAGGAGCCTGACGCCGAGAGAGGCACAGAAGGAGAAAACACGAAACCGGGCCTTCTCGGCGGTGGCTCCTTGCCTCTGGAACAACCTCCCTCCAGAGAATCACGCGGCCCCTACGCTGGGTGTCTTTAAAACCCAATTAAAAACATGGTTATACATCCAGGCCTTCCCTCCAGCCAATTCTTGAATTATTTTTCTAATTTTCGTTATATTATTTTTCCTTATTTCATTGTGATTATGATTGTTATTCGATGATTATGCACATTTTTTATTTTTATTGTATTTTATTGCTTTATTTTGTATTGGAAGCCGCATAGAGTGGTCTGGTAGTCCAGATAGGTAAAGGTAAAGGTTCCCCTTGACAATTTTTGTCCAGTCGTGTTCGACTCTAGGGGCGGTGTTCATCCCCGTTTCCAAGCCATAGAGCCAGCATTTTGTCTGAAAACAATCTTCCGTGGTCACGTGGCCAGTGCGACTTAGACACGGAACGCTGTTACCTTCCCACCGAGGTGGTCCTTATTAATCTACTCGCATTTGCATGCTTTCGAACTGCTAGGTTGGCGGGAACTGGGACAAGTGACGGGCACTCACTCCATCACGTGGATTTGATCTTACGACTGCTTGGTCTTCTGACCCTGCAGCACAGGCTTCTGCGGTTTAGCCCATAGCGCCACCACGTCCCCCTGAATCCAGATAGGCGGGGTATAAATAAATAAATAAATAAATAAATAAATAAATAAATAAAACTGACTGCTACCACTCAGTTTCAACACACACACACCAAATTTGGGTAGGATGCACTTTTACTAGGAGAAATAAAAGTCTGAAGTAACAGAATCTGACTGAGAAGGGAGGAGGGCCCGGGGGATACCTGGATTGGCCTGTCTTTGAAGTTACATCTGAAAGCAGAAATCAAATGGGCACCATGTTGGCACAAAGCTGTGAATGCCCCATGGCAAAGAGTGGGAAAATATAGAAGGTTTTTGGAAACAATCTTGACAAGAACTTGAAGTAAGTGGCCTGCTTTATATATGGAACTCTAAATAATGAAGAGAGTGGGTGCAATTGTCAGAGAAATTGACTAGATCTATATCTGACCAGACCTGCCGACATCCCCCCCTTCATCTGAGGCTTGACAGGGAGAAAGAGAAAGAAAAGAAGAAAGAAAGGGGTGGGGGAGAGAAAATGATTTTGTTTTGCAGCAATAAAACTCACCTTCGCAAGACAACATAACCATAAACTACTGATGGCTTTAAATCTGTGAAGCAGCCAGGAAAGCCCCCCATCACCACCAACCATTGGTAACTAGGAACCCGGGAGAGATAATTGTAAATGCTTTCTGCCCCAAGACATAAGCTACTGTTATGAACATCTACTGTGTTTACTACTTGTTGGAAAGAAATTCAGATAATATTTCCAATCATGGAATAAGACATTCTCAAGAATATTCAAAAAATATATTTAATGGATTACACCAGATAAAAGCAGAGATGGATCAGATATTTGAACAAATTAAAGACATAGGAACACAAATGGACTCTCCACTGAAGACAGAAAAAAAGACCTGTGACAGGAAGTTAGCTATTTAAAGCACAAAAGACAATTTTGTTCTTAAACTTCAGAAGTCTTCAGGAAAAAAAGATGAAGATCCAGTGCAGCGGAGAACTAAGTTGTTAACCCCTCTTATGAAGATGTCAGCAGCAGAAGTGCAGCAAATGATGAACTTTACTATGAAAAGGAGAAGAATTGAGATGATGGGAGATCTACTGTGGCAGATGGGACAAAGGAGGAGCAATACATGGAGTGGATTAAGCTCTTGGGAACAGATATTAAAAATGGTTAATAAGATGGAAGATGAAGAATATTGATGTAGAGTAGCAGATATAAATTTGGCAGAATATAGATGATCAAAAGATGGAAATGTTAAATTTAAGAGGATATTTTGTGATGAAAGAATAAATGATAAAACAGACACAAACTAATGATTATAACATGAATTTAGAGCAATAGATATAAACTTGGCAGAATAATATAAAGCCTATAAAATTAGTAAGTCAAAGATAAAAAGAAAGAGAAAGTTTAAGAAAATGGAAGATTAGTAATTATAGATATTTTGGAAAATTGCTATAATGTCCTTTTTTCTTTATATAATTTCCCTTTTTAATATAATTGTATAAGCAGATGTAAGAATACTTTTTGCTCTCTGGAATTCTACCCTTTCTTACCCTCACCCTCTTTTACCTGGTACCTCTATTTGTACCATAACCTCTATACCTATGAAAATTAATAAAAACATTTTTAAAAAATGTATAATACTGTATATAGACAGTGATAACTGACCTAATTGTTTCTACAGTATTTGCACAAAAATGTTGAATGGTAAAACATTCTTGTGCTGTGAGCTGATTAATGCATATGGTGTACTAAAAAGCTTTTGCCATTGTTTAAGTCACAGGAAATAGAACTGCATCTCTTATGGAACTAAAATCCAGCTATTTTATGTTGAAACAGTGACCAAATTCTTGTTGCTGGGAGTAATAAATTGCACTACACTAGGCCCACTGAATCAGTGGGGATTGAGTGGGTCAGATCATCTGTAAATTCTATTGATTGAGATGGGCCTTACGTCTGGGTCGTAGTATGCCCATCTCAGCCAGTGGAACTTATGAATGACTTGACTCATCAAATCTTCATTGATTCCATGTCTGAATTTGCTTTGTTTAAGAATGGTTGACTAAAGGCCAGTGGCAGTGTGTTCTGAGACAGTGAAGTGTTGCTTCACTGCTTATTGAGTATTGACATTCCTTACTCCAAGTTTGTGTCTATTTTGTCTTTTTTGTTTTCGAACTGACCTGCTAGACTTTTGTACAAAGTAGCTAGGATACAATCCAAATCTTATTCTGTTATGCTGAATAAAAATTGATAGTGGAATGGATTTACCCTCCTGTCTGCATGTAGTACCCATCTGCTGTTGGGACACCCCCACTCCCGAGAGAAGGAGTGTGAGGGGAAGTCCCATTGTGTCAGTGCATCTGTTGACGTCATGGTGGAGGTAACTCAGTGTAGACAGAGAATAATATTGACAGTAGTTCAGTTTGATTCAGTGAACTTACATTTTACTGAAACTATACATTGTATTTTTGACAGAAAATGCTGTTTTCTTTGGTACTGTGTGCAGTCCTACTCATTGGAAGGAGTGAAGCTCAGAATGATGATGAATGGATTGATCCAACAGATATGCTGAATTACGATGCGGCATCAGGAACAATGAGGAAGCCTGACAAGGTAAAGGTATAGTCACTATTTTCTTTTTGAATTGGAAGTGCTGTTCAATAATCAAATTTAATTGTGGCCTTCTGGCCTCAGTTGTTCAGTGTTTCTTTTATGAGTGCCTAGATCCCCTTTACAGGACACATCCTGTTCTAGGTTCATGAATGTAGAGTTACATCTAATCTTGAACAGCATCATTGGAACCATGGTGGCAACTTGAACAGAATAATTACAAAGGAAGAGAACTGAAACTAAATGGTTGCATACTGCTGATTGATTTTGGAAGCTTTCACTGCTTGTTTCTTTGTATTTTATTGTGCCACTTTTCTACCTGTTTCTCAAAAGAGGAAGTAGTCCAGAAAAGAGGTTTCTTTTCATATCAGAAGTTTGGACACATCTCTGTTCTACCTGCTTGTCTCATCTGTGCGTATAATATTTTCCCATGAGAAACTCCGTGGACTCTGGAATCCCATGAAACCTTGGACTAAGTAGTTGTATTTACACAAAACACCAGTGAAAATGATATATATTGTGCTTCATTATAAGAAGGGAAATATATTTCCAGATATGGGTATATGCTCAGTGTGTTACAACAGAGACTTTTGTCTTATGTGGAGCAAGAAATGCCTGATGTTCAAGCTGGATTCCAAAAAGAAAGAGGCACTCGAGATCATATTGCAAATATCTGCTGGCTGCTGCATTGTGCAAAGAATTTCAGAAGATCAGTTTATGCTTTATTGACTACAGCAAAGTTTTTGACTGTATGTATCATGAAAAGCTGTGGGTTGCTCTGAAAAAAATAGGTGCCTCAGCACTTTATTATACTGACGTGTAACTTGTGGAGAAGAAGCTACTGGTAGGAGAGAATATGAAGAAACAGACTGGTTTCCTATAAGAAAGGTGCATTTATCTCCCTAACTGTTCAAACTATATGCACAACATATCCAGAAAGCTGAACTAGATCCAGGTGAAGCAGAAGTGTAAATTGATCAAAGAAACATAAATAATTTAAAATACACAGATGGCACCATCTTACTGGCAGAAAGCAGCAATGAGTTGAAATGACTTTTGATGAAAGTGAAAGACAAAATCAAGACTGTTGGAAGAACAACTTTAATGTTGACAAAGACACTGAAATAGTTAAAGATTTTATATATATTGGTTCAATCATCAATCCAAATGGAGGCAGTAGGCAAAAAATCAGAAGAAGACTGAGAGTAAGAAGGGCAGCAATGAAGGAATTAGAAAAGATTGTCAGGTGTAAGGATGTGTCACTGAAGACCAAGATCATTCACACTATTGTATTCCTGATTACTACATGTAAGTGTGTCGGAAAGAAATTGATTCATTTGAAATATGATGCTGGAGGAGAGCTTTGTGAATACCCTGGACTGCCCGAAAAACAAACAATGACAACAAGTCTTGTCATATTCTGGGCACATTATGAAAAGGCAAGGTTCTCTTGAAGAGACTAAGTTGAGAAAAGTTGAAGGCAGCAGGAAAAGAGGAAGATCAAATATGAGATGGATTGACCCCTTAAAGGAAGTCACAGGCTTTAGTTTACAAGAGCTGAGCAGGGCTGTTGAGGACAGGAATTTTTTTTATTTGCTCATTCATAGGGTCGCTGTAAGTCAAAGGCAACAGGATGGGATGTAACAATAACAAAAAGTAGAAACTGTAATCATGCTGGTCAGCTTATATTGCATCAAGTGAAACAATTTAACATTCATGAATTGCATCCAGACTTAGTTATGTTTAGAGAGCATATTGTGTGCCATGTGCCATAAAATCAGAACTGATGTATAGCTACTCTAATAAGGTTTTCTCATTTACAAGAAGTGAATGAGATACCTAAAGGAGTGGTTTTATCAGTTTCATATGTGAGTTTCCATATCCCAGTGGGGATTTGAACCCATCTCTGCTGAGTTGTAGTCTTATCACTCTGCACCACACTGGATTTTTTATGCTTAGAGCCCACTGAAATTAGTAAATCTACTCTTAAATATGCAGTAGTTTGAATATAATGTAGACAATGTAGTTGCTGACCTTGAGCCAGACATCCTGGAGAGTGAAGTCAAGTGGGCCTTAGAAAGCCTGGCTAACAACAAGGCCAGTGGAGGTGATGGCATTCCAGTTGAACTATTTAAAATCTTGAAAGATGATGCTGTTAAGGTGCTACATTCAATATGCCAGCAAGTTTGGAAAACTCAACAGTGGCCAGAGGATTGGAAAAGATCAGTCTACATCCCAATCCCAAAGAAAGGCAGTGCCAAAGAATGCTCCAACTACCGTACAATTGCACTCATTTCGCACGCTAGCAAGGTTATGCTCAAAATCCTGCAAGGTAGGCTTCAGCAGTATGTGGACCGAGAACTCCCAGAAGTACAAGCTGGATTCCGAAGAGGCAGAGGAACTCGAGACCAAATTGCTAACTTGCGCTGGATTATGGAGAAAGCCAGAGAGTTCCAGAAAAATATCTACTTCTGCTTCATTGACTATGCGAAAGCCTTTGACTGTGTGGACCACAGCAAACTATGGCAAGTTCTTAAAGAAATGGGAGTGCCTGACCACTTTATCTGTCTCCTGAGAAACCTATATGTGGGACAGGAAGCAACAGTTAGAACTGGATATGGAACAACTGATTGGTTCAAAATTGGGAAAGGAGTACGGCAAGGCTGTATATTGTCCCCCAGCTTATTTAACTTATATGCAGAATGCATCATGCGGAAGGCTGGACTGGAAGAAACCCAAGCTGGAATTAAGATTGCCGGAAGAAATATCGACAACCTCCGATATGCAGATGATACCACTCTGATGGCAGAAAGTGAGGAGGAATTAAAGAACCTTGTAATGAGAGTGAAAGAGGAGAGTGCAAAAAACGGTCTGAAACTCAACATCAAAAAAACTAAGATCATGGCCACTGGTCCCATCACCTCCTGGGAAATAGAAGGGGAAGATATGGAGGCAGTGACAGATTTTATTTTCCTGGGCTCCATGATCACTGCAGATGGAGACAGCAGCCACAAAATTAAAAGACGCCTGCTTCTTGGGAGGAAAGCGATGACAAACCTAGACAGCATCTTACAAAGCAGAGACATCACCTTGCCAACAAAAGTCCGAATAGTCAAAGCTATGGTTTTTCCTGTCGTGATGTATGGAAGTGAGAGCTGGACCATAAAGAAAGCAGACCACCGAAGAATTGATGCCTTTGAATTGTGGTGCTGGAGGAGACTCTTGAGAATCCCCTGGACTGCAAGGAGAACAAACCTATCAATTCTAAAGGAAATCAACCCTGAGTGCTCACTGGAAGGACAGATCCTGAAGCTGAGGCTCCAGTACTTTGGCCATCTCATGAGAAGGAAAGACTCCCTGGAAAAGACCCTGATGTTGGGAAAGTGTGATGGCAAGAGGAGAAGGGGACGGCCGAGGATGAGATGGCTGGACAGTGTCTGCAAAGCAACCAATATGAATTTGACACAACTCCGGGAGGCAGTAGAAGATAGGAGGGCCTGGCGTGCTCTGGTCCATGGGGCACGAAGAGTCGGACACGACTAAACGACTAAATGAACGATTGAATATAATGTACTATGTTCACATGAAATAGCAAATTCTATTGATTTCTCTCCTTATACTATAGTGCCCCTCTATCTGCAGATTCAATAGTTGCGGTTTCAGTTATATTTATGGTTGCTGCTGCAGCAGCACAGCCTGTGATGTGTACACATACCTACCTCCTTTTCTCCCCCTTTCCCCCTCACTTTCTTTGATGGGTTCATTTGTTTCCACAGTTTCAAGTATCCGTATTTTATCCTGGAATGGATCGGCCATTGGGGGGGGGGCATGCAACTGTATCTAGCTTTATATATCCCAGTAAATATGCAAAATGAAGTCAACTGACGGATACACAAATTCAAATAATCTATGAACTGATAGTAAAAGTATTAAGAGGTACATACTGTCTGATTAAAATTATAGGAACTGAATCAAGATGCTTCTGGAAATAAACTATTAACAGAGGCCAAGGCGGATGTCTCCAAGTGCCAAAGGAAGCTTGATTTTCTGATTCATAAGGTTTGTACATGTGCTGTGTTATACTGTGTGCTTTGCTTTTTCATATATTGTTCAGCTCTAATTTAAATAGATTCAGATTTTCTTGGAACATCATCTTTGCAAAAAATTCAGTATTGATATTATACTGTATCTTTCAAATTACAGTACTGTTATGGTTCTTTATATGTACCTTATTCTGAGTAATTAAAAATGTGCCAGCTAAAAAGTCATATGCATTTCTTGAAGGTCTTGTGAAAACTGGTAAAAATAATTACCTAGATTTAAAGCAAACGCTCTGAACATAGGGGAGCAGATTTTTATGCAGATAAGTACTCACTTTTGATACGGTGTGTAGATTTGTTATCACTATTTAATGTTTTAAAGTTTTATTTTAAAAATTATTCCAGGTCAGAGATTAAAGCAGATAAGAACCCTTGCAGATTGACAGTGCAAAAGCTATTTTTGTTTTTAGGTTTTGTTACAATGCAAAGCAAAGTGTGCTGCTTATATACTACCTCACAGTGCTGAAAGCACTCTCTGTGCAGCAACATCTGGATAATCACTGGTTGTCCATCCCAGAGCTGTATATTGTGGCCTACCAATGGTTTGAAAGGACATGGTGGCGCTGTGGGTTAAACTGCAGAAACCTCTGTGCTGTAAGATTGAATCCACGTGACGGAGTGAGCGCCCGTCACTTGTCCCAGCTCCCACCAACCTAGTGGTTCGAAGGCATGCAAGTGCGAGTAGATAAATAGGGACTACCTCGGTGGGAAGGTAACAGCGTTCCGTGTCTAAGTCGCACTGGCCATGTGACCACGGAAGATTGTCTTCAGACAAACACTGGCTCTATGGCTTGGAAACGGGGATGAGCACCGCCCCCTAGAGTCAAACACGACTCGACAAATTGTCAAGGGGAACCTTTACCTTTACCTTACCAATAGTTTGAATAGTTCTTTGTTTTTGAAGTTCTGATAGACAGTGAGGCCAGAGTTTTTATCATGCACCCAGTAGGGGGCTATTTTTGGTTGCTGGGCCACATTAGGCTTGATGGGTCATAACTTGTGCAGATTATGTATTAAAATGGCTTTCAGAGCTGGATCAAATCACTTAACTGTGAACAAACTTTTAACTCTGAATTACAGTGAATTGTTTCTTGGCCAAAGCTGTAAGTTTGTCATGTAAGTTTAGTTATTACATTAAACTGAGACATATTACAGGGAAATGTAATATCAGAATGTTTTATTATTACAGCTTGAAGACTATGAAAAAAAAGATAAAGCCAAGTTATATGACAGCAGTAGCATACACATTTTTAAGAGATACTTGAATAAGATTTTAAATGAAGCTGGAAGAATTGGTCTAGTAAGTATTTCAGTGCTAGATAAAGATGGTGAGTTCCCCATTCCCCCCCCCCCCGGTCCTGTGTAATTGCTGAAACTTCAAGTTGAAGAAAGGCCAGGTGTTATTGAGCTTTGTCACACCAGGAATGCTTTGGCACTCAACTATATATATATTTTTTCTTACTGTATTTTTGTAAAATAAATCATGACACGGTGTAATATGTTATGTGTTGTTAATGATTTTTGTTATGTCCTGATACGTAAAACAATAGAATTCAAATAGGGTGTGTGTGTTTTTACATGACTGTATTATTGATTGGTATATGTATGTAATTTGGTAGTCACTCTAATTACACAAAAGGAAATAGGAAGTAACTTAAATGATAACTGAAACAGTCTATGTTCATTGATGAGATAGATTTTATTCTTTTGATTTATGTGGGTTACAATGTGAGGCCAAGAATTAGCTTCTCACCCGGGACATTCAGGCCATGTGCCTTATTGTAAGGCTTTCGATCTAGGGTTTCAGTAATTATGAGAAGGATCTGGAGTAAGGCTTTCGATCTAGGGTTTCAGTAATGATGAGAAGGATCTGGATTACTACCCAAGTCTTTTTAATAGGTTATCTTGGACCAGTAGGTCTGGGGTTGCCACACTATCCAAGTCTTTTTAATAGGTTATCTTGGTTGTCAACTTCGTATTGAATTACTTAGCAAGTATGAAACATAGTAAGCAAAAGCCTGCTTTGTGCCTGTGAACTGTAGACATTCTTCTGTGGGAAGGTATCCCTTCTGACTAATTTCCACACTAGTGGCCACTCACTTCCCACATTCTTTTACATATTTCAGCACCTTAAACAGAGCCACCACTCCTAAGTGCCATTAATAATGGTGTTAGCCTAAAAGGACAACCATCCCTCTGAAAACCATTGCCCCTTCTGTTATACCCCAACAAGTGCTTCTTTGCCCGAAGCTGATATATTTTTATATTCAGTTGTTGAGTGAAAACATGTATCTGTTTTAGTTCATTTCTTCATTGCATCTAGTAGCACATAGCCTTGTCTAACTCAGGTGTTTGTAACTTGTTTAATCTGCTCTTAGATGATACATAAAATAAGTAAATGAGACTTTAGTTGAAACAAACAAAAGGGATTTTTTAAAGGTTAAATATGTAAATAGTGTAAAGGGAAAGATATTTTCTAGGGTCTATAACACAAAGTTGATACAACTGTAAATACATACATATATACTGTATTCTTTCTGTATTGTAAGTAAAAATAACTTCACACACTCTAACGTTCGTACTTCGCACTCACAACATTCTCAGGAAAGACTTTATAAAAGACTCTAGAACAAATTAGCTCTCCTGATTGACTCTAAAACAGACTTCTACATCTCTCTAACAAAAGAAAACTTTAACCCACACTCTTCTCTTACCTGTCAATCAAACCAGACACCTCCCCGCTATGTTTCATTGACACCAACCAATCAACTTTCAACTTTGTCCTCAACATTCCAGTATTCAGCTGCCAGTCACACTAGCACTCTACCCATATACATGTATACCACAGAGAGGAGAGACCCGGGGGGGGGACTTAGAATGGGCAGAATCACCACATACTGTTCCATACATTATCATCATTGCCCCCTCAATAACAACTACAACAGTCCTTCAGTTAGTCAGTGTTAAGCATTAAACTGTTCACTTCTAATTAACTGTCAAAATCTTTTGTCTATTATTGTGTGTTAGCAAAAGCTTGCATTGTTATTTCAAGAGTTGTTTTGTGTGGTTTTCTTTTAGCCTGATGATAACGCTGGGGATATGCACTATGATGCTGAGATCATCCTTACCAAACAGATGTATAATGAGATCAAAAGGTTTCTCAATGAAGAAGGGTGGAAATCAGCTGCTTTAGATGATGCTCTCAGTGATATTCTGATTAATTTTCGGCACCATGATTATGAAGCTTGGAAATGGAAATTTGAGGACTCATTTGGGGTTGATCCATACAATGTCTTCATGGTGAGACAAATTTCTTGTATTGAAATGTTCCTCCACGGGCCACTGTAGTCACTAGAGAGGTAGGCAACCTAGAACCTTCCATTTGGTTCAGACTGCAATACCTAGAATCATTGAACATTTGCCATGTGGTCACCAGGTACCCTACCGTGTGCCTACTCTCTCTCTCCTACAGTGCTGTGCTTTGTCTTACTGGAAGCTGAGTATATAGGCCCTTTTTTTGTAAACATCCAGTGAGCAGTAAGTCAGGGCTGCTTAGTTTGTAGCTGTGAATGACTTTCTGTGTGATTTGGTAATTCTCTCAATTATGGTGCCTGCCCGGAGGTGCAGAAACAGATGGATAGGAAACACTTGCCCATTCTTATTGCCCAGCAAGCAGGCTTCAGCTTGGTAGGATACAAGATGTATAAGTCTAAAATAATCTCAGTTCAATGTGCATTTATATGGGGGGGTTAAATCAGTTTGTTCTAAATGTAAAATTATTGCTAATGGGTTAAAGCAAAAGCAAAGTGTGCTGCTTATATACCGCCCCATAGTGCTTCAAGCACTCTCTGGGCAGTTTACAAGTTAATTATGCAGGCTATGCATTTTACCAACCTCGAAAGAATAGAAGGTGAGTCAACCTTGAGCCGGCTACCTGGGATTGAACCCTGGGTCAGTTTTGGCTGCAGTACAGCAGTTTAACCACTATGCCACAAGGCTCTTAAGCATTCACCAGCTTGATTTTCCCAGTCTTTGGTTTTAATCAAGAAACCAAAATAAGGCCCACCTACTCTCCCACCCACTTCCATTCATTATTTATGCATTGTACCACTTAAGGCAAAAACTGAAGATTTTCTGTAACATTGATGTTGCTTTCATTGATTAAAAAAAGACTGATTCTTTTCAAAATCTTGGCTATTAGAATTCAGGTATTTTGTGACTCACACATCATTTTTATCTTCTGTTTCCCAAAAGGTACTTCTGTGTGTGGTGTGCATTACAGTAATCGTTGCTACAGAACTGTGGACACGTATTGGTTGGTTTACACAGCTAAAACGTGTTATGTTCCTAAGTTTTCTCATCAGTTTTGGATGGAACTGGATGTATCTATATAAGGTAAATGACGAAGACTGCATTAAGAAGGGATTGGGAAGTAGGTACTTGCCTGTCTGGGATTGAAAGCGTGTGCACATTATGTTAAACAGTATCTAGTTCTTCAGCCTAAGAAGTAAATATGAGGTAAAGTTTATGGACAAATTCATGTTGTTTCTCTTTGCATTTTGGTTCTTATCTAGCAGTGAGTACATGGGGTAACGTGCTCCTTTTGTGCATCTTTGCAGATGATTTGGAAATTTGACCTTTACCTTTTCTTGTTAAAGCCATATGGTTGTATTCAGACAATGCAATTAACTATATTTATCCCCACCTAAGCTAGCACACTTCTTCCCCTCTACACTTTGCTATTGGAATTTGGAAACTCCTTCTTTTTTATGACTTCCATAAATCACACATAGGGGTTTTGTAGTGCACATGCACGGAACTTTGAAACATTCTAGAGCTGAAGAGAATATACGGTTAGTCTCTTCCACCTCCCAGCGCTCATGTATTGGGGCACAAATATCCAGCTCTCTCAGTTCCTTTAGCCGTTGCTGTTGAAGCTTCTAGAACACTGGAGCTACCATTGGTCTCCATTCATATATCTTGCCTTTGGCTTCTTTTATTATTACCTTAGTTTTCTTTCTTTCTTTGTTAATCTCTTCATTATTCCTTTTGTTTGTTTGTGTTTTAAATAGAGTTTTCCAATGCCCCCCCCCGTTTCTCCCCCCTTTTTAATGGCCCCTGGGAAACTGTTTAAGAAGAACATTGTTTGTGGCAGGAACGTCCCCTTGCCAGATAGACAGTCTAAGTGTCTCTGCTGTTTGGGTGAATCCCATCAGCCTCATTCTTGTCCACATTGCCATAGGTTTGGGCTTTCGGCTGTTTAAAACTGTCAATTTCACGTATTTGTGGGAGAAGTCTCTTCAGCCTTCTTCCTAAAATGGAGGATTCAGCCCAGTCTGCCTCTCTGACACTTCATGTTAAACAGGAAAAAGCAGTGGCTGGGTCTTTGGTGGCGTCGGTGCCTACCCTCACCTCTCTGTCCACACTGGACATTGCTGTTAAAAATGTAAGAGCCTCTCCTCTAAGGCTCCATTTAATAATCTAAGAAGCCCAAAAAAAGTTGAAACCAGAGAAACCTTCAGTTTGGGTAAACCACCTGCCCGCCTCTTGACTCAGCTTTATCCAACCTGGTTTCAGAGATGACTGCTCATTTGATTCTGGCTCCTACCCTATCTTGGGTGTTTTTAAAAGCCAGTTAAAAACTTGGCTATTTAAGCAGGCCTTCCCTCCAGTCAGCTCTGTTATCTCTTCTTTTCTTATTCTATCCCTTCTTGGTAATCCTTTCTTAAATTAATTGTCTTTATTAATATTGCAATTGTATTTTTATTGATTATATATATTTTATATTGATTTATTTTATGTTGTAAGCCGTACCAAGTAGACATGGTCTAGAGGGGCGGGGTATAAATTTAATAAATAAATAAATAAATAAATAAAACCACTTTTGGATCCATTGAAGTCCTTCTCTCCTTTTCAATGCTCAGATTCTCCATCTTCTGATTCCAGTTGTTCATCTCCCGGATCCGAAGATTCCTCAAGGTCATTTTACTACCATGGTGCCATTGTCGTCCTAGTCTGCAACTCCAGAATTCTGGCCTGAATCTTCTGCCGCTCTTGGAGCTCCTCCGAGGTCCCAGCCTTCGGAGCCTCCCACTTTGGAATCACAGGTGTTGCTTCAACCTTTCTCAGCTCCATCTTCATGGCAGCCCCCTCAAGACTTATAGACATCCTTTTCCCAGGCATCTCTGGTGGATCAGTTAGGAGCCTCACAATTTCAGGCCCATTATGTTTCTGGTCAGTATCATGAAGGGGTGCCTCCTGTGCCCCCCTTTGTGTCTCTGGATTTGAGTTTCACATAGCCTCGTCTCTTAGCGTCTCTGTACATCAACCCTGCATCATTTAGATCATCTTTATGATCAGATTACTACTGATGCCTTCTCTCCAATCCATTTCAGAATGGATCCCCTGCTATTAGCTTTGGCCAAGAACACTTGGATGAAACCAGCCTCCTCAGCTCCTACTTCTAGGAGAGTGGAGAATTACTACAGGGTCCATGACAAAGGAGCATCCTTCCTTATCAAGCATCCACACCCCAGCTCAGTAATTGTGGCAGCATCCCAAATTCGATCTTGGGTAAAGCAGATACTGGTTCCTCAGGGCAAAGAGGGTCATAAGCTAGACTCAGTTGGGAGACACCTTTTGTGATGTGTCCTTCTCATGTCCTCAAATTATTTCACTAGCCTGGGGCCCACAAGATGTTCCCTCCTTTACGCTGCCACCAGTTGATCTCTGTCAATTATGTTTAATTAGAAAGGTTGAAGTCCATGCTGAGTTTAAAGTTGAACCAAAAAGGTTTATTGGATACATTTCACTTGAACTGGTTCTTCAAAGACTTTAAAGTATTCAGTAGCTTTGTAATAACTTGTTTCACTCTTAACTCTTTATAGGTTCCGCACTCTTAACTGCCTCCCTTAACTCCTCACTCTACCACACTCTTTAACTCCCACAGACTAACTTCTCACTTCAGACTCTCATCTCTGACTCCCACTGACTGACAGACTGACAAAACTCCTCTGCCTCTCCCCTCCCCTCTAGTTTCTGTAGCTCCGCCTCCCAACAGCTCCCATTGGTACATGAAAATATCCTCCTACATGAGCTAAAGCAGGGTGATCGCCACACCTTTATTCCACTGCCTCCCTAGTGGTTTGAGTGGCACTCTATCAAGGGGCAATGGGTGCCTACCAGAGAGTGCTCTTCAATAAGCTTCAAGCCCATTTGGACACCTTGCCAGATGCAGTCAAGTTTGAAGTTCCATCTGTTTACCACGAAGCTATGATGATAGCTGCCCAACAGAAGCATTCTGCTCACCATGCTACGGATTGTGCCACAAAGGCTATAGCAACTGCAGTTATGATTAAGTGACATGCCTGGTTCCAGGAACTGGCTCCTGGCTTAGAGGATGATGTCCATTCCCAAATTGAGGACTTCTCGTTTGATGGGGACATCTTTTCCATGACAAAACTGACAATGGAATGGATGATCTTCAGAAAAAGCACACGGCTGCCAAAAGATTGGGAGTCTATCCCCAGCATCAGTAGTGCTTCAACCACCAACAATGGAAAATACCCTATTTTGGCACTCTCTCCTAGGCATCAGTATAACAGAAGGAGGACCCTTCCCTCTGCCTCCTCATCCTGGTTATGCCATAGAGTTAATTTTCTACTCATCAGTGGGAAAATTCCAGTCAACCCCACCTTCCCCTATCCTAGAACAAGAGTCTCTTCCATCTCAGCAAAGATGCAATTCAACAAATATCTCCTCACCTTATACCAGAGGGCCACATTATTTCACTGTCCCAAAGGACAGCAGTCTCAGACCAATCCTTTTTTTTTTCTTGCACTTAAAAGAAACCTGCCTGTGATTTTGGAGGTGGCCCATGATAGTGGTTCCCCACATAGGGAGAACTTTGCAACAGAAGTGCCTGTGAGCAAGTTTATGGGTGAGACTGAAGGCAAAAGCAATAAAGTTTCTAGGAAAAACAAAGTCATAGCTGTGCTAGAGAAGTGGAAGAAACTGTCTACTCTTTCCCCGGCTGAGAAAGTGAAGCCATGAGCCAGAAAGAAAGCAGGCTTCATCCAGAAAAGGCAAGCAGAGGAAGTCTAGTGGATGTCAGAGTGCCAGGTGACTGTCAATCACTGGAAGAGAGCATGAACTTCAAAACGAGTCTTTGTTGCACCGAACTTGAATTGGGAATTCCTTAGCTGTGTGGGTGCATTGAGCATCGGACTTGGAGCTGGACTGTGCCAAGTGGATGACAGTGAGAGGCTACACCCTGTGACTTTTACCAGCAGAAGACTTCAACCTCATGAGAGACATTTGCCATCAAGAGGGCATGCCTGTCTATTGTATGGACCTGGAAGAAAAGTAAGCCATACAGATGGAGAAGAAAGTTTGCCCTGTGCACCGACCACTCACCTTTGAAATGGTTGAAAACTTTGCAAATGAACAGCAGCAAACTGACCAGATGGTCCTTGATTCACCAAGATTATGACTTTGAAATATTCTGCTTTCCTCCAGTAGGTGTCGTCTGCTCCCCATACACAGTCTATCTAGCAGAGTCGATTGTACATTGTAAATCCACTTAACAAAGTATGAGGTGGGGGGAATTTTCCCCCCACAGAGATAACATGTCGTCTCAAAGCTTCGGTACTCGATCTGTTATTAAAAGTTCTATCAAGTACTTTGCCACAGTCAAACAGGATCAGTCCACAATTATTTAGTTCATCAGCAATTCCCAGGCACAGTCTTATTTTTCTGACCTTGGCACGGTCCGGCCAGAGTTAGTTTCGCTTTTAGGCTAGTTCATTAAAATAGGACCGTGCTTCAAAAGATTTGCCGCTTCTAAGCTTTCTTTCGGTCTTATCTCTTTTATCAGTTCGTTAGCTTAAAAGGCTCCAAGTTTTATTTATTATTGTCCATTTTTAACTGCAATCATCAGCTCTCCTCTTTCCTCGGACATTCCGGAGTACTCACTGCTTTTTGTCACCAAAATGGCGCTTCCGTTCCAGCTTGTGCCTCGTGGATCTCTTCAGAGGGAAAAAAGACAGGCCGCCGCCCCTCAATTCTTCCTCCGATGCCCACGTTCGGTCCAGAAGAACTTCTCCTAGCTCTTCCTCCACCCTTTTGGTCTCCTAAGGGTGCCAAGCTGGTCGGTTTTCGGCATTCCTCAGGAGCTTCACCCGAGTGCAGCCAAACAGTGCAGTGACAAGCTCCGCCCTCCTCAGACCAATCCTTGACCTGTGTGGAGACAAGTTCATCCTCACCAAAAAGTTTTGTATGACAACTCTGGAAACTGTCATTCCACTGCTTCACCATGTGGGTTGGTTTGCGATGATAGACTTGAAAGATGCGTATTTTCACATCTGTCAGGTAGGATCTCTTCCGCTCCATTCGGT